CGACCTGCTGAAGAAGAGGCGCTCCCGGCGGCGCAACAGCAACTCTTTCTCCGCCGAGGACCAGGACGCTGGCTTGCTGGTGAGTACCAGGGTGGTGGCCAGGGGCCGAGGGCAGCGCCCAGCATGGACCGGCGCTGGCAGAGGCAGGGGCCATGGGGCTGTAGGAGGCGGAGATGACAGCCCAGACGCCAGGCAGGACCCCAGGGCTGCAGGGTTCCCACCCTGCTGCCAGCGTGGGCAGACTTACGCCCTGGCAGCATGACCGTGCTGGGCTGCTGCTGCTGCTGCTGGGCCTGGATTTAACCCTGGGCGTGGGCGTGGGGGGTGCTCCGTAGACGGTTTACTGAGTTTAGAGGGGTTCTGGTGGCCCTGTTGGCAACCCAGGGCCAACCATGCCCCCTACCAGCTGGTTGCTCAGTTTCCCTCAACAGTGGCCCTAGGGTGCTCCGACTGGGCTCTTTAACCCCAGACGCTGGAGACGAAAACTTCTTCCCTTCTGATAACGGGAGGTTGGGGGTACTGCCCAGCCCCGGGGCGTGCCCCCATCCCTGCAGATCTTGCGACAGGATTGATTTGGTAGGGGGCGAGACAGGGCATGTGACACCTCATAGGAGGGAGTACAGCTAGCTGCCCCTGTGGGTGTCTGAAGCTGTCACTCTGCGGGAGCAGGTAGCTTTAGCTTTGTCCCTGGGGACAGCTGGTGAGTTCAAACTGCTGACCTTGCAGTTAACAGCCCCAGGTAGGTTGTGCCCATGGCTCTTTAACTCTTAAAGGGGTGGCTCCCTCCTCCACCCCTTTGGGCCCAAGGCCCAGCTTCAGGTCCTGCTAAGCCAAGCCTTCCTCTTGACTTTTGCCCCACTACAGAAACTTGACTCTTGGGGCTGGAAAGGGCACATCCTTCTTGGCCACCCCATCCTCCACACCCTGTGTATGCAGTGGGAGGTCCAGGCAGGGGGTGGCGCTTGTCTGCCTTAAAGAACTCCTCAAATCCTGGGGGTGGGGAGAGGATGAGGTCAGGTACTAAAAAGCTGGGGTAGGGCCGGACCAGTGCCAAGAGAAGGGCAGGGTGCTTCTGGGTGGCCCAAGAAGGCTTCCTAGAGGAGGGGCTGCCCAGAGGGCACAGAAAGAGGAATTTGGGTCTGGCAGGAGGAAGTGTAGCTTGGCGTTCCCATCAGTGCTGCGTGTTTGTAAGCTCGCTTGCTGCTGAGCTAGGCTCTCTCTCCTCTACTATCACCACCTGCCCAGCACGGGGGCTGAGTGCTTTCTGCGTCTGGTCTGTTCCCGTGACCCCTCACTGCCACCTCCTCCCAATGGCCCTTCCAGGAAAGCTTGGTTATCTCAGTTCACAGGTGGGAGCTTTGAGGTTCAGGGACATGCTGGCATTAGGTGCCAGCCAGTCAGTTCTGACCCGATCACAATAAAACCTGCCCGGTCCTGCGCCATCCTCTTAATTGTTCTAATGCTTGAGCCCGTTGGTGTAGCCACTGTGTCCACCCATCTTGTTAGGAGCCTCCCTCTTTCCGCTCGCTGCCCTCTCCACTTTACGCACCGTGGTGTCCTTCTCCAGGGACTGGTCTTTCCTGACAACCTGTCTGAAGTAGGTGAGATGCAGTCCCACCATCCTTGGCTCGAAACAGTCTTCTGACTGTACTTCTCCCAAGACAGACTGGTTTGTCCTTTCGACAGTCCATGGTTTGGCCAGTACGCTGGGCCAGCACCGTCATGCCGACTCGGCGATTCTTCTTCAGGGTTCCTCGGGTCCTGCCCAACTTTCACATGGATGTGAGGTCATTGAGCATTCCTTGGCTCAGGTGCACCTTCGTCTGCAGAGTAAGCTCCCTGCTGCTCAGCCCCCTAGAGAGGTCTTGCAGCGGACTTGTTTACCCGACGCAGTGCAGAGATGAAGAGGCAGGCGCAGGCGTTCCTGCTGACGGGAGCCTGAGTCCTTCGAATCTCGACCACGGCCGGCCCAGCACCTTTTGTCTGGCCGTGGGACCTGAGGCCAGTGGCTAACCTTCCGTATGCTCACTCCCTGAAGACCCATGGAAGCCCTTTGCAGGGTGTCTTTGAGTGTCCGAAAAAGGGAAGCTGCATGTTCTCCCACAGACCCTAGGTTATGGAGGGCTGAGAGCTCTCCCTATTTTGCGTGCGAGGACACAGAGACCCGGTGGGTGTGGCCGGGTCAGAGGCCCATGGCATGCCCGGGCCGGCCGGAGACCAGACTTTATGTGTGACAGCCGTGGCCCCAGCCAGGCCCTCCGGCCCATGGGCTCCTTATCTGTCAAGTGGGCATGGTAATGAGCGCTGTCTCCCCCGGAGGGTGTGGGACCGGAGGGGGCCATCTGTGCGAGGTGCTGTGGGTGACGAGTACCCAACGTGTGAACACGCCGTGTCCTTGTTGTCCTATACCGGCAAGTCCACTCCGACCCAGGGACCCAACAGGACAGAGTTCAAACACCCCTGTGGGCTTCCAAGCCTGTACATCTTTTAATTTTGGAGTGGGGTGGGGGTGGGGAGAACATTTTTATTTCCAGAGGGGCTTATATTGTGCCATCTATAATACTGATTTGCAACAGAAACCGAGAAACTCTGCCAAGGAAGGCTCATCTGGGCACAGGGGAGAGGGAAACCAGTGCTGCTGTCCGCCACGCCCCAGGCAGTTACAAAGAGTGTACACAGACTAATACCAATGTGTTCAAAGCAGGGAGGAAGCCAGGCCTAAATATTTAGAAGGTCTGACAACATAAAGGACAGGAGAGAGCCTGCAAATGGATATTTTTACATCGTAACAGTTTTATTACCAACTAAGTCACAGGTCATACTCGAGCCTTCCAGTCTTAGTGGAAGCAGAGTGCCCTGGCTCTGTCCTGAGGGGCTAGCGTGGGTTGGAACTGCTGACCTTTCAAGTCACCCCTCTACCGCCAGGCCACCTAGGCAGTACGTTAGTCCGCGTAGAGAAATAAATCCATAGAAACTCATATGTGTAGAAGAGAGAGTTTTATATAAAGGATAATTGTACATTAAGAAGGCATCCCAACCCAGTCCAGTCCAAGGCCATAAGTCCGATATTATCCCATATGTCCAATACCAATCGATAAAGTCCTCTTCAGACTCACAAAACACTTGCAATGACGCTGAATGCAAGACGCTCACAGGCCAGTGGGTAGAAAGTCTTTGGATCCAGTGGCGTTGTAAGCATTGCAGCGCTGGCAGGGGTCTCCACGTGGCTTCTCCAGTTCCCAGGGCAGCATCAGGGTAGGTCCATGTGGCTCCTGTACGATGTCTCACAGGAAGTCAGCCTTGTCAGTAGAGTGTCTCTAAGGGAGTGAGCAGAGAGAGAGGAGGAGGAAAAACAGGAGTTCCCAGATTCCTCAGGGGAAGGCCATGCCCACACAGAGGCCTCATTGGGTATGATCCGATTGACATACTAGACTCCACCCCTTCACGCTTACTTCTCTCAAGTCTCAAATGGACACCAGATTGTGTAGCTACCACACGGTAATTGAGCGCATTGTCTGGGCCTGGCCCTGTCTGGTCTAGGAGGATGTGCTGGGTTGGAGCTGGAATTGGCAGTCCCGGAGGGCCTAGGACCAGGGGAGGCATCAGCAGCTGTGAAGGGCAGGGAGGGAGAAATGGAGAGAAGTGAGGGCCTTTGGGGGAGGAGGCAGGACCGAGCTGGGTCGTGAAGGCCACGTTGGTGTTAGTCAATTGGCCAGCTCCAGACTGAGGAAGCTGTTGAGGGAACCGAAAGTCTGACCTCATGACTAGAGGGTGGTGTCCAGGTGCGGTTTGGAGGAGGAGGCTTGAGGGTTCAGCAGTCAGCAGGCATTGGCAACTGGGCTGGGGGCTGAGGAAAGGGGTGGGGAGGTGTCCCCCAGGGAAGACCCCTCAGCTGTGGCTTATGACTGGAGTTAGCAGGCAGGGCCTGGCAACAGCTAGTGAGGAGATATCCCTGTCCCTGACGGGAAAAGATGGCCTGAGCCTCAAACGTCCAGGGCTGCCTCTCAGAGGGGCATGGGGGTGGGAGGGAGGCCTTGAGTCAGCTCGGCTCATCCTGAGACCTGCCTGAAGCTATCAAAGAGGGCCAAACGTTTGGGCTCCCCAAGCCAGATGGTGGGGTGGGGGGTGCTGTCAGATACCCCAGACTGGGACCAGTGCAGCCCTTCCAGGTGAAAACTCCCAGGCCCATCCATCCTCTGAACCAGCCCTGAGTGTTGTGTGAACCGGATAAGCCACCTAGGGTGGGAATCCAGGAAGTGGGAGGGTGCCCCCTTTCAGCCAAGAGATGGGGGTGCTGGCTGAGGATGGCTTTAAGCCTGTTTAAGGTCACAATCCCGGCCAGCACAAAGTGATGACGGGTGTCAAGTGGCCTGAGGGAGCTTCCTGAAAGTGGGACCCTTACAGCCCTTTGTTCCTGCTCTCCTGAGAGCGAGGCCGGGCTGTCAGGCCTTGGACAGGGGAGGTGAAATGACCCAGGACCATGGGGCCCTGAGGGTGGGCTCAGGAGGCACTTTCCTGGGTGAGGGTGCTCTGGGTACAGCTGGGCCCAGAGTGAAGACCCCTCCTCCCTAGGTGTGTGAGGGTCCCGACAGCTCCAGCCTTGGGGACCTCATCAGCCCCCTTTCCTTCACAGGAAGGCTCTAGCCCTGGCCCCAGCCCCACTCCTGAGCCAGCCCCAGCTTCCACCCCACAGCCATCCCTCGGTGAGTAGCTTTAAGGGGGCGGGGGTGGGTGGGGACCCAGCTCAGCTCAGGCTGCTCACAGTCTGGGGCTGGGGACTCCTGGGGTGGGTGTGGTTTGGGGGCTACCTTAGCCGGGTCTCTGTTTGTAGGTGGGAGCGCCTCATCAGAAGAGCCAAGCCCAGGGGAGGAGGCCGGGCCGGTAAGGGGGCTGAGGTGACGGTGGGGACAGACGTGTGGGCGCTGCCTGGGGGGGTCCTGGACTGAACCCCACCTGTCCCTGGCCCCTCCCCCGCAGCAGCGGTTCCAGGACACGAGTCAGTACGTTTGCGCCGAGCTGCAGGCCCTGGAGCAGGAGCAGCGGCAGATCGATGGGCGGGCCGCTGAGGTGGAGACGCAGCTGAGGAGCCTCATGGAGTCAGGTGTGGCAGGCAGGGGACCCCCAGCGCTGCTCAGCCTTGCAGTGCCTCCTGACCTACCTCACGGGAGGAAGAGTGGGGAGGCAGTTGTGGGCCTCGTGCGCATTGGACAGCTCGGCACGCTGAGGCTCTGAGCAGGGAACCAGCTCGCTGGACGTCCACAGCCCCAAGCCCCACTGCCCAGCCCTGCTCCTGACACTGGGCCGAGTAGCCGGCCTGGTGATACCCCTTCCCCCTCCCCCCGCCCTGCTCAGGTGCCAACAGGCTGCAGGAGGAGATGCTGATCCAGGAGTGGTTCACTCTGGTCAACAAGAAGAATGCGCTCATCCGGAGGCAGGACCAGCTGCAGCTGCTGTGAGTGCTGGCCCCTCCCAGGCCGGGCGGGGCTCCGCCCACACAGACAGGTCACGCCCACAAGACAAGCCACGCCCACACTGGCCCTGCTCCCCACTCCCTCAGCTGGCAGAACCCTAGGCCTCTTGGCATCCTGTGGCTAGATTTAAAAAAAAAATTGTTCAGCCATTTTATTACAAGGAGTCTCCGCTTTCTTACCAGCTCCCAAGACTCCATCGTCTCTACGTCGGTTCTGACATATGGTTTTTACCCCCATTTTATTATTGCCTTTTATTATGTTTATAAACCCGATTTTTGTCATTGGGTCAGGAACATGATTGTATTTGGTTGTGTTTGAATGTATATTAACAATGTTAAGATTTTTTTAAATTTATTTTTTAAGATGTTTTTTAAAGCAAAAATGAAACACAGTCTTAAGTAAATGCTGTTGATGTTAGCTAACATACTTCATAAGAGGACTACATCATCATTTTGGTTTTTTTTTCTAGTCCATTTAAGTCAAAAACCAAACCAAACGCATGGAGACCCTGTGTGAGTTTCCGAGACCAGAAATCTTTTCCAGAGTAGACAGCCCCATCTTTTTCCCTCTGAGGGGCTGGTGTGTTTTGACCCAAGGACCTTGCTGTTAGCAACCGAAGAGTAACCGCCAAGCCTCCAGGGCTCTGAAATTGGTTTTCTTTTTTCTGATGAGAAAACAGGCAGAGCACAGGGTAGCTGAGTCCCCCAGTCTGGCCGGCCCAGGGAGACCTCAGCTGGTCCCCCGAGTGAGGCCCACAACCGTTGCCCACGGTCATCACTTTTATTGTTCTGCATGGTGGAGGCAGTTCGGCATCTTGGACCATTTGTCAGAGTAATTTTTGCCTAATACTTGTTGAGGGGCAATGTTCATTCAAACATTTCCGCAGAATTGTTTATTTAGAAAAGAAGAGGCCACAGTGGGTCATCACTGTTGGCACCCAACGGGAAGGGGTGTGTGTGAGCACCTGGCTGGGGGCTGGAGGCCAGGGGTGGAGCTCTTTCACACACCCCAACTCCGTCTTACTGGCGAAGGCGGGGTGGGGTTCGAACCCTCTCAGACCCCTTTCCCCAACCTGTCACCTATCTCGTTCCCACCCCAGCATCGAAGAGCAGGACTTGGAGCGGAGGTTTGATCTGCTAAGCCGAGAACTGCGTGCCATGCTGGCCATCGAAGGTGGAGGAGGGGGCACGGGGCTGGAGGGGTGGGTGGTGGAGACAGCGAGGCGTGCCTCCTGCCCCCTGACACTCAGCCACTTGGGCTCTCAGACTGTCTGAAAACGGCCGCGCAGAAGCACCGGGAGCAGCTCTTGCTGGCGGAGCTGGTGTCCCTGGTGAATCAACGCGACGAGCTGGTCCGGGACCTGGACCACAAGGAGCGGATGTGAGTGGGGCCCAGGGCGCACGGGCCGTGGAGAGGGAGGGTCTCGGTGCCCCGCTCCCCTCCCAGTGCTGGGCTGGGCTGGGCCCTGATGGCACCCGTTTTCTCCCAGCGCCCTGGAGGAGGACGAGCGCCTGGAGCGCGGGCTGGAGCAGCGGCGCCGCAAGCTGAGCCGGCAGCTGAGCCGGCGCGAGCGCTGCGCGCTGAGCTGAGCCCCGGGCCCCGGGGGTCCCGCCTACGGGCCGCTGTTGCCCTCCAGGGAGGCTGTGGGAAGAACCTTCCGCCACGCCGACCCGACCCGACGGGTCCTATTTATTTGTCCGTGTGCGTGTCTGCGCGTGTGTACGTGCATGCGTGTGCGCGCGCGCGTGCGCGTTTGCAGGAGGCTGGGGGTCCCCAGGAGTGCCTCGCTGACCCCTCCTTGAAGGCAGGACCCAGCCGGCCAGCTGCAGGGAGAGGACTGGGTCTAGGACTGCCTGGCCACTTTCTACTGTTCCTCGGAGCAATAAAGTTAGATAACACCAGCACCCGACATTTTCTTTGGGTAACTCAGGGGGTTCAGTGCAGGAAAGAGGGTGGTGCTTAAAGCCGCGAAGGTTGCCTTTGACCCCACCAAGGGCTCCGAGCTTCCCTAGCACCTCTGAGACAGAAGTAGGCTCAGGGAGGAGGGAGATAGTGTTACTGGCCCCAAAGCATCTCATTTCAAGAGACCAATAAACAATTGGAATTGTGGCCCCTTTTATTACTCTACTGCTATACTATTCCCCGAGGCCTGCACAGCTGACCCTGCCTCTGTTTCCAGAAGCTTCCCCCACTAGCTGAACATTGCACAGCCGCCCCCGCGCCTGCACCTTGAAGAAGCCAAACGAGCTGCTGACAACTTTCAGCAAGCTGGAGCTTGCTCTCGGGCGGGGGCTGCGGGCGGCGCGGTGCACGACATCGACGACGACGAAGACACTGTGCGCAGAGCTAGTTCATCCTGCCCGACGATGCCACCTTGGTCCTCGGCGATTGGAGGGCTGCTGGGCACGAAGAAGCCCACCAGGGCACGAACCTGCGGCAGCTCCACGAAGGTCTCCACCGTCAGCAGCATGGCCAGGAGCCCCAGGAGCATGTACCCTGGAGAGGAGGGGTGGCTTGGGGGCGCGCTAAACGCTCTGCACCTGCACCCAGGCTACAAACATCCTGGGGGTGGGGTCGAGATGGTCTTCCAACTACAACTCCCATACTGCCCTGGGGCGGGATCCCTTGGCCTCCGGGCTTCAGCCCTGGATGTTTCCTAGGAGCTGTAGTCCAGGCTCAGCTCCCCAGACTCACCTAGCAGAGCCAGCTGGCCAAGGTGGTATATCACGGGATTCAGGTTGCGACCGCGACCAGGCAGCAGTTCCTCAAACCCGACGGTGCTGAGCGAGTCGAAGCAGAAGTAGATTGCCCCCAGCAGGCTGCCGCCGCCCTGTAGCTGCCACAGCAACACCGCTGGCAGCAGCATGAAGATGCCGCCCACCAGCAGGCCCAGCCCAGTGGCCTGCAGTAGCGCAGCCCGGGCTGGCGCCAGCTGCCAACGTGCTGCTGCCCAGGCCCCCGGGCGGCTGAGCACAGGGAGCAGGTGATGGCGCAGCACGGCCACCACTGCTAGCGAGGCCGGTAGTCCCAGAGCCGCATAGACCAGACAGAAGACTTTGCCACCCCATGAGAGTGGGGCGGTATTGCCATAACCTGAAGAGGGGAGGGAAGGTGGGCATTTGAGTGCGTTGCCTGCAAGAGGTGCCCCCTCCACGCTACCTCGCCTCCTGTTGAAGGCTGCCCTCTGGTGGCAGCAGCGCCAGCGCAGCCTACGCCCCTTTGTTCAGTTCCGCTCTGGTCCCCTTCCCAGGGAATCCTGGGCAGCTCACTAAACCTTGCGCTGCCACTCCGTCCTTTTCTGGAAAATGAAGGGATTGCAGGAGAGCATTCCTTCAGTCCAGCAGGAAAGCCATCCTGCTTTTCTGCAAGATGACTCAGCTCTGCCTCCAGTTCATCCATTCCCCAAAGGTGTCCTCCTGGGGACCGGGGTTTGTGCCGGGATCTGAGTCTGCACCAAACCCCAAACCCAACGCCATTGAGTCCCTTCTGATGCGTTGTGACTCGGTAGGACAGAGTCGAACCGTCAAAGTTAACAAATCTTTACCAAAGCCGCTTGCCGCCTCTTTCCCCTCTGTCAAACTGAACGCCTGGCCCAGCAGCTGAGCCCTGCTAGGGAGCCACCGGTGCCCTTTGAGGGTGCTCAGGCCCTGCCTTATGGTGGCCGAGCAAGCAGGAAGTGAGCCAGGACACTTGATGTAAAGGGCGGTAAGGGAGACAGCCTGCAAGCGGCACTGGAGACTGCGAAGGCATGGGCAAGGGTGGGGGAGCAGGGCCTGCTGGGAGAAGATCTGCCAGGCCGGTGTGCAGATGTGAATCTGCTGGAGCCAGATATGGCAAGAGGGGAGTGGCAGGCCCTGGGGAAGGCCCTGGTCCACTGCAGCCAAGGGTTGCCTTGCAGGGTTTCTCCCTCCGTGGAAAATAAGTTTCCTGGTTTTCCCGGAAGTGGGTCTGAGCCACTGCCCTTTCGGTTCGCAACCGAGCACTTTAACCACTACGCCACCAGGGCCCCTCTTGTGCTCTCTGGCTGCTCCCAGGCCATCCTACGTGCCCCCTACCTCATTCCAGCCCTCTGGGGCCTGGGCACCACGCCTGGGCCCCCAAAGCAGCCTGGGGATGGATTGGGTGGCCACACCCCTCCTGGCAGCTGAAGCAGAGGCACCAGTTGGGGCACACTGATGTGAAAAGGCCAAGCTGTGATGTCAGGCCTGGTAGGGCCTGGGCTCTGGCTGGTCCTTGGGGGTGGGAGAAGGGCTGTACCACCAGGGTCCCCAGGGAGCAATTGCCTTAGGAGTCCCCTCCTGCCTACCCGTGGTGGTGAGGACACCAGCAGTGAAGAGCAGGGCTGAAGGCAGGTCCCAGTTCTTGGCCTCTGAGCTGTTGCCCAGGCTGGAGACCCCGTGGGTCTGGGCTGCCAGGACGGCATCCAGCAGCCCCTCCAGGGTGTTGGGTGGCAGGCAGGCCCCGAACTCTGCCTGGAAGGTGGCCAGCTCAGCTCTCAGCTGGGCCTGGAGCTGGCGGGCTGGAGGCCCCTCTAGGGCTTGGAATACGGCCGCCCCAAGCCCCAGGGCCAGCAGGTGGCCCACAAGCAGGAACCCGTATCGGGCCCAGGACTTCAGACCCCCCATTTTATGCTGCCCCAAGTCTGGGTGCCGTGGAAGCTGGCGTCTCTCCGCAGATGTGTGGGAGGGGCTGGGGCTGGGAGGAGGTGCATGGGGCTGAGGAGGGACTGAGCCTGCTGGGTAATTGGTGGAGGCAGCTCAGACTTGCAGGTAAAGCACCCCTGGTTTTGTGGGCAAAACAAAGCCCAACCCAAACTGACAGCCACTCAGTTGCTTCGGACTCATCTCGGCCTTACAGGGCAGAGAGCTGCCCGATGGGGTTTCCAAGCTGTACATCTTTACCGAAGCAGATCCCTACATCTTTCTCCTGCAGAGTGGCCAGTGGGTTTGAACCACTGACCTTTGACTTAGCCGTCAAGTTCTTAAGCTGGTGCATTCCCACGGATGCCTTTGGGGTGGTGGGAAACCAGGGTCATCGTCGATTTTGACTCCTAGCGGCGCTTTAGGGCAGAGTAGAACCGCCACTGGGTCCAAGGCTCTGCATTTCTCCTGGGAGCAGAAAGCCTTGTGCTTCCACAGAGCGCCCGGTGGTTTCGAACTGCTGACTTTGTGGTTAGCAGCCTGTAATGCCACCAGGCTTCAGACTAGGGTTTCTTTACTCGTTTCACTGCCGGTGGGCTGTCGTGGCAAGTGAGGACGCCGGGGCCGCAGGAGCCAACCGCCGGAAAAGCACACGGTTTATTCGCAGACACAGACTCACGCATGGGTCCCACCCAGTCATTCAACACGTCCCTGAGGACCTGGGAAAAGGACACGCACAGGCCGTTCCCACCCAGAACAAGCAGCCTGTCCGAGTCAAAGGGTGACAGCTTCACACTGGCCACCTTGTCATCATCCCCATGAAGCAATGCCCTGGACAATTGGAGAGGGAAGAG